CCGTGATTTTCAAAGACCCATCACCAATTTTTAAGATTTTATCACTAAATATCAATGATAAACTTGCAAAAATCAATGACATGTCCCTAGAAATCACGGATATATTCCGGAAAATCAGCGACATGTTCCAAAAAAAAAAAAGATTTTTTCTCTGACGAGTGTGACGGTGACCGCCTTTGTAGTGCACATTAAATTTTTTACATTATCGTAAGCAAAAAAAATGTATTAAATACCACTAAAATTGAATAAATAAACTATCTTTCATTTGAACTGTTTATGTTTATGTCTAGATTTGTATGTCTCCATAGCACCCTCTCTATTTATTCGGAAGAAAAATACAACAGACCGTCAATTGCAGGAATCCGTAAATCAGTTGAATTAAAGTTGTTAAATTCCTAGAATGAAGACCCGGAGACTAAAGGCGGAGAAAAATTAACAAACAAGTCAAGTGATCGTAGAGTGAAATCCATTTCTAGGTCTTTTCACTTTATATGGGGCAAAAAATGCAAGACAAATAGTGAACGTTTCTCCGCTGACTCGAGAAAATTGACTACACCTGAGGGTAATTTTTGACGAAAACGTAAAATTTACCGTTCATCCTATCGAAACTTATCCCATGAATGTGAATGATTACTTATATTGCATAATCATTCACATGTGTAGAGGAATTTTTCTGTAACGCAGAATGATATTTCTTACCAAACACCGAATGGAAAAATTTCCCTTTCGTTCGTCTCCATGTCCTTCATAGCAGAGCCAGAAAAAATACCCTACCGGGCGGTAAATTTTTCTGTACAGCGAACAGTAATTTATACATTCGTAGATCTGTTTTTTTTATCGAACGAATCGTAAGATATCCTTCGCCAAAGGTATTTTTTATTGAATTACAATTTCGCCCCCCGATTACCTTTCGTAAATGTTGCACAATTTTCTCGATAATTTTTATCCAACTTTACTCACTGTGCGAGCCACTTCAGGGCCAAGTCGATCGTGAAAATTCAATTAAAATTCACAACATTTAAAAAATTTCGAACATCGTAATGTTTTATGTTCTTTCGATTCTTAGTGAGAATTTCATCACATAGACTTTTTTTCAGTTCCCAAAGTATAAAATTCATTATCTCTGAATACTTACCAATCATGCAACAATTTACGCATCAGTGGGATAGACTCTAGTCGCTAGAGAAAATGCATCAGCTGTTTTAGCCATTCTTCGAGGCACTGGCGGAGGTCTGGCTGCGTTAATATTCAGTTGGATATTATGGCCTAAACAAAAGTCATATGATTGTCGAATTACGGAATAGATTTTTTTTTTCGGTCACATGCGTGAACCCAGATTCATGGAATTGCATTTTCTCTGCTGTTTTTATGAATAGAAATTTTTAATACGTAATATTTCCAAGGAAGTTTTAGGAAATTTTGTAATTGAAACTTCACATATTTCGTTTAGTTTCTCATTAAATTTATGAAGAAATCAATGAAAACTACAAATTTGAGTTCCATTATTCAGTTAAAATTAAAAAATTTGTAAAAGAATGTTTTCATGAATTAAAAATTAAGTGAAAATGCAACTCACTTTGATACTGAATATTCATGTTAAAAATTTAAGTAATTCGTAAAATTCACTTGAATTCTACCTAAACCTTGAAGTGTCATAAGTTTTATCATTTTTGCCCGTCAATAGAATCCAGTGTCACTCCCCAAAAAATTACAGTTGAATTTTTCAAATTCAAAATCCGTTGTCGACATTGTTAAAATGAAAAATCTTACTATTTTCATAAATTTTCATCGGAAAACGTTTTTGTCGGAATTTTTTGTAAACTGTAGGAAATTTGGTAATTGAAAAATCACACATTTTATTAGTTTTCTTATTAAATTTCCGAAGAAATCAATGAAAATTGGGAATTGCAGTTCAATTATTTTAAATTTTCAAAATTTGGAAAATAAGGAGGACAATATTTTTGTGAATTAAAAATTAATCGAGAATTCAGCTCACTTTGATACTGAATATTCATCTCTTGTTGAAAATTCAAGAAATTCATAAAATTCACTTGAATTCTACCTAAATCTTGAGGTTTCATAAATTTCATAACTTCTCTGCCTGAGTCGAATCTAATGTCGCTCCCCAAAAATGGATTTTTGAAATTCAAATTTTTTTTTTTACTAGTGACAATTGAAAAATCTTACTATTCTCGTAAATTTTCGTGGGAATACGTTTTTGTCGGAATTTTTTGCATTCAATCCCGGAAATTTTTTAAGGCGTTACATTTCCATTGAAGCTGTAGGAAAATTGGTAGTTGAAAAATCATGCATTTTATTACTTTTTTCATTAAATTTTCGAAGACTTTAACGAAAACTGTGAATTTCAGATCAATTACTCCAACTTTTTAAAATTTGAAAAATCAGATAAACAATATTTTCGCCAGTTAAAAATTAATCGAGCATTCAGCTCACTTTCATACTAAATATTTATGTTTTTATGTTTAGCTGAAAATTCAAGTAATTCGCAAAATTCACTTAAATTCTACATAAACCGTAAGGTTTCAAAAATTTTATTTCTCTTCTTGAATGAAATTTGATGTCGCTCCCCAAAAGTCGATTTTTGAAATTCAAATTGGTTTTTCGCCAGTGACAATTGAAAAATCTTACCATTCTCATCCAATACTCCTGAATTAATCCGGAAGGACCGCAATCATTTCTGTCTTCTCCCGCACATATTTTTCTTACCCCAGTCTTCAAGAAATAATTAACGGTCATAATGAGTATGCAGAATTTATTCAAATGTTTTGAGGAGTTCACTTGTGAGAACGCCGTCGCACCGACGAATGAATGACGAAACGATGGTAATGTTTCGAGAGCCTACAGGGTCTACCCGCTGTTCCTCGATGGCTTCCCCCTTGGTTGCTAGCACCAATGACAGAGTCCCCCCCACTCTACCACTGACATCAGAAAGCAGTGTCAATTTCTTCACGCCCGGTTGTCAACGTTCTGCAGACCCGAAGCACATCGACCGCAAAAATTTCATGATAAAATCTATCTGCTTCAGTTATCAAAAATATTACCAACTTTTAGCAGAACATTAATTCGGAAAAATTGAAGAATCGATGAGCTTTCGTTATCCCTCACATCCGCACTAGATTGGAAAAAATAACCGATTCAATTTGACCAATTGAATCGATTTAGACAATTATTCTTCGAGCAATGCTGGCAAAATTGAATTTCGAAAAAAAAAGGTTGGGAGTTTCGCCGTCGAACCGAATTTTTCAACAGAAGCCTCCGGCGAGTAGGAGGTTGCTAATAGAATAACCGCCTGGACCGGCATGAGTTTTCTGTGGTTTCCCAGCCCAGCAAACAGTATGCCAATGTCCTGTTAAATTTCAGATGGCAGTGACAAAAATTGTTTTCTGGGATGCTACTCCTATGTTCTATAGGAGTGCGAATGCGGTACAGTGTAGAATCCTCATACGGAGAGTAATATACAATAAAAATTAAGTATCTTTTCCATACTTTCGGAGCAAAATGTGGTCGTAGGAAATTTTACGGAACTGTCACGGAATTTTTCCAGAACATTGCGTAATTTTTATCTGAATCTCTTGTGAAAAATTATGATACCGCCACTTCAATTTTCTGAGTCGATTCCGTAATCGGTGAGCGAATTGTGAGGTCCGTAATTTTTACTGAGTATTTCTGGCAGTGTCTATTCACACGCTCCACGGTAAATTTGACCGCGGATATACGGGACGTTTTCTTAATAATTTCTAAATTAAATCTAGACAATAAACTAGACACATTGAATCAATTGATAAGTGATATGCAAATAGTAGACTAGTGAATAATTTTATCAAAATGTTCATTCGTTGAATACGAATATCAATCTAGATTAACGCAAATAAAAAATGAAATAAATAGTTAACAAATAGTTGACTAAACGCAAATAAAAGATGAAATAAATAGTTTAATACATTTTATGTGAACGTTTTCTCAACAATATTCATATATGTCTAATGGGGTCCGAGTGCAGGAGTGGACGCCGAAATATAGTGCAATGATTTTAATGGTGATTTCCCAACCGGGGGAGACTCCTAGACCGCACTGGACAATTGTTGTCACAATTCTGGTTTTCAACTCTGGATCCACACTTCAAAATCAGAGTTCATAGCAGAGATGTCAGACAAGATGTGAGTGAGAATCTGCCGTGGATCCACAGTAAAATTTACCGTGGAGCGTACGAATAGACACTGCCAATATTTCTCTCTGTGCAGCCGCATGCATAGGGTTGGATAGAGTGCTGAAATGAGATTCAAAGAGAGGACTCAAAAGTTTATTTAACCCTTAAGAGGTCACGCTTTTTTAGCATCTCACTCGCTCTACAGTGGTGTCCTATAGGTTGCGTACGGTTTAGTGGGGATTCCCTCACGATACGACCACTTAAGGGTTAACTTCACCTGCCACGAAAAAAAAGTGTAAAATTTGATCACGATGTTATTGAGAAAAGGGTAAAAAGGATTGATTAAATGCATACGCATATGTAAATGTACATACAGGGACAAGGTCTGGAAACATCAGATTCCGATTTCTGAGCTCAAAATTTCTTATTTTAACACAAAAAACTGAACCCATCAATTTTAAAGACTATCACCAAGGGTGTTGATGCCCTTTCATTGCGCCCTTTTTTTTGAAACTTGAGATTGAAAAATAAGAAACAATCATGCAAGTTTCCTATTACTCTAATTTATCATTATTCCCAATGTATATTCAAAAAATCTGCAGTTCTACTTTCCCTGGAAAATAAAAATTTATTTTCCGCTAACTTTGAGTTTAATAAACGACTGGTTGTATATGTCGCGTAATAATCAAATATTATCAGTTAATTAGTTTAAATATGTGAAGATGTGGAATAGTAGATGTTTAATGACAGATATTTAGACGATAATTTGCTGGCAATTTTTAACTTCTTCTATCTATTAAATTGCAGGATATCGGTACCTTACAGAAGTCGAACGTGAAATTCATCGAAATGAGAACTGAAAATATTCCTTGAAATTTCAATTTATCACAAACTTATTCTATATTCCTGTTATTATTATGGTTTTTAATTAATATTTACAATAGGTAGACGTCCGCCTGAAAACGGTCTACAAGAATGATCTCGATAACATAAAAAAATAGCATCGCTATAGAGAAGATTAAAAAAAATAATTTACCAGTGGTTTTAATGGGATCTCAAGAACTAGAATCGATAAAGTAGACTCTTTATGTGGACGTCAACATATATTCATCAGTTTTTTCCACTAAAATATAATGATTTATTTTCTTTCGACTTGAGCATGAATTTATAAGCAACTGGTGTTAGTACAAAATATTCTTGTAATGATTATAAAAAAATTATACAAAAAAATAACTATGGCGAACAGAGTGATAAAACGTAGCAATCCGGATATAACATATGTATCAATGATGCAATTATCTAAAAAATGATGGGATCAAGAAAAAAACGGAGAGATAATTTTTTCCAGCTGAAGAAATTTCCCCCCAGAAATATCTCGTCCCATCGCCTTTTAAAATAATTCATTATCAGAATAGTTTTATGTCTATCAAGCTATGAAAAATTCACTTGTTACGTTTCATGACTTCGATACTGACATAAATTTTCTACAAATAGTTTTTGATCCCGTAATTTTCTTCAGAATTCTCCCGCAGCCTGACGAGCCAGGTGATCAGCCTTCTCGTTACCATATACCCCTGCGTGAGCTTCGACATCGTCCTATGAACAGAAATGAAGATAATTTACAGAAAAAAGAAGTAGGCAATTGTTTTCGTCACAACATCGTCAATATATTTTTGCTAATGAATTGGTAATTTACTTCCGAATGGAATTTTTAGGGCGATGTATTTTAAATTGAATTCAATTATTCATCGGCTCCAACATTTCCCCAAAAATTTAAATAAAATTTTTTTACTTTTCCCTGCATATTGGCTTCAAAATAATTTTTTTCAACAACAGATGGCAATGGAAAGAATATTTTTAATCACAATTGAATTGATTTAAGGCCCGGGTGTACTATCTTTCGAATGTTACCTGGATTCTTTTTATCTTTCGTAATCCAAAATTGCCAATTGAGTGGTACATCATGTAGAAATTCTCAAAAATTAGGATAGAATGATAAAAAAAAAAATGGAAAAAATTCTGAACTTTTTCAAAAAGCGTTTTTAATTGAGATTCAGAATGAGTTGAAAAAAGTGGAAATTACAAATATCTGATTGACTGTGGCAAATTATCTATTAGCTGTCATTTTCCATGGTGGATAACAAAACACTAACTCCTCATGGGAAGTGACAGCTAGGTATCTCAATTTTCAAAACAGTGGTATGTAGTCATCTGCCATTTTTATGTGATAAAAGTGTGATTAAAAAATTCTCCAAAATATTACAACTTTTTTCAAGGAGCTTTTTCCGTAATAAATGTCTCTGTGCAGTATGGGAAAAGATTTACGAAATCAGTCTTCCCCCTGCATGATATTGGGTGACAGGCCGCCATTTGTCACCGTAAATCAGATACATTTTTCAATTTCTTGTTATTCAACTTATTCTGAATATAAATTAAAAATGCACTTTAAAAAAATTTCGAATTTTTTCTACTTTTTTAAAAATATTCATTCATAATTTTTCAAAACTTCTGTATGATGCAGGACTTAATTGACAATTTCAGATGACGAAAGATGAAGAAAAACATCGAGATAATATTCGAAAGATAGTACATCCGGGCCGTAAACAATTATTTTTGCAGTTATCGTCGTAAAACGATCGATCATGTACACATACATATATCGTACATATTCGAACTCCTGAGGCCAAAATTAGTCATACTGACACAAAAAATGCACTGATAAACAGAATCAGTTATTGTTAATAAATCGATTCGGTTGATGGCTAGGGTCTATTTGGTCTCACCAAGTGTTCATTCGCTAATATTTAGTTAATTAACGAATGCATATTTGAGAAGTCTTGTTTGACTCGACTTTCACCTTTCAATTGAACCATTCCTTAATTATTAACGAATATTTATTTGGTCATATTCAACTCTACCATTCGTTAATAGTTAACGAATCTCGTTTGGAATAAATGAATGATTCTATCAGTGTGGGAAATTTCGAATTTGACGAATATAATGCTTCCATTCGGAAGCAATAGTCTAAACAGACTGGCAATGACGGTTTGATGGCTAATTGACTCTTACAAACTCGATGTCGAGGCCTCCCATAGCCCTATCCAGCTCCTCTAGTACTTTTTTATTCCCAACCTTACGTCCAGCACTATTTTTCCAGCCTTTGGCAATCCACTTGTCGATGTGTTCCAGTACCACATCAGTGACGTATTTGGAATCAGTGTAAATTGTAATTTTCTGCAGATTATTCTTTTTGGCTATTTTACAGGCTTCGGTTACGGCCATCGTCTCAGCAATGATATTCGTGAGGTTCTTGCCGAGAATTGGTTTTGAAACATTCCTAGACATAGATGAATTATTAACATTTTCATGTTTTTTTCGAAGATAGAATAGTATTGAAGCAATTATTTTTGGATTGAAAAATCACTTTTTGAGTTAGTATTATCATACACTGTTAGAAGGAAATTGAAATTTCATGGACAGTCGGCTAGTCATTTTCAATAGATTTTAGATTTGGAAAATTCAATGGAATCCCCAATTTTTGAACAGCTTTGAGATAAGAATCCCTTAACTTATTTGGATTTTCAATGAAATCATGAATATCCAGTGCCGAATTACGAGGAATTTTCAACTAAGGATAATCGGGCGAGGAGGAAATGTAGGAGGTGAGGCGGAGGGGTTTCTATTGTTTTCCTGCAGAAAACCAATCGCTGAACAAAAAAATTTTCCCATTCGGATTCAAAATTCAGGCAATATTAGGGAGTATCTCCGGTTAAAAATTATTTTTGGAGCTAATCAAATTTATTTGTATCTGTTCCACGCATTGAATGATTTTCAGATTGTTTTTTTTTAATAAATGAAAAAATATTAATCCATGCGAAAAAGTGGCAACATCGTCGGTAGTTTTTTTTTCACCAGGAGCTGGTACCGCTGTGCTCGAGGGAGCTCCAATCACAACGCTTCATTGCTCTCTCTCAAGAGACATTTAAATTGACCGTTTGGGCTACGTGCGCAGAAATTTCATTTTTCAGTACTTTTTTCGCTATTATTAATAAACAATGCTCCTAGGCGACAATCTTTTTCACTCAAAGAATCATTGATCACATATTCTAAATGTGTCTAAAGTTTCATGACTTTGGCTGCATTTTTTTCTTGGGTTTTGCAGTTTTTTTTGTGATTTCCATAAGATCACGGGTTAAATGACCACTTTTTCAAAAATTCATAATAAATTAACCATGCTCCCCAGCAGTCTGAAACTTTGCACACGCCTTTTCCATCATTTAAAGAATACGGAAAAAAAGAAAAAAATGACTGCTTTTTTTCTAACCCTCCGGGCTCGCCCGATTATCCTTAAGGCCCGGGGGAATTATCTTTCGAACGTTACCTCGATTGTTTTTCAATCTTCATAATGTAAAATCTATCACAATTTCCATTGGATTTTACATCACGCAGGAGTCCCTAAAAATTATGATTGTACAATAAAAAAAATGGAAAAGAAAACTGAATATTTTCAATAAGCGTTTTTAATAAAGATTAAGAAATAAGTCCGATAGAGAGGAAATATTGAATGGATAATTTATCATGGTAACCAACGATCTGACAGCCATTGACTACTGTGACAAATGACGACCTAACGACCATTAGACACATCAAATTATTAATTTGCAATTTCCTCCCTATTGGGTTTATTTCCCAATATTATTCAAAAACACCCTTCGAAAATGTTCAGCTTTTTTGCAACGTTTTTCTGATTGTACGATCATAATTTTTGGAGACTCCAGGGCTATGTGAAACTGAATAGGTAGCAATTGGAGATCATTTCAGATTATCAAAATAAATAAAAACAACCAAGATCGGGCCTTAGTTAAAAATTCAACAATATATTTTTTGAAATTTTCTTCATTTCTACTAAGTTTTAGTTAATAATTAAATCGAAATTTATAGTTCTCATTCATTTGTCCTTGAAATTTTGAATTTTCAATTACGAAATTCCTGGAAATTTCAGTGGAACTAAAATGTGATAAAAATTTCCGAAAAGTGTACCAGAAATTTCAGCTAAAAATTTTAAACAGTGTAGAGTTGAAATGAAAATCACCAGTGAAAACCCAATAATCGAACCAATGAAATTCAATCATAACTAGAATATAAGAAACGTTACGAATCTTTCAATTGAATGATCTATCTTATATCGAAGCTGACGAAAAAGCGTTCCTTTCCACGGTTTTTTCATCGTTTAGTTTTGGAGTTCTCTATTCAAATTTTCATTCTATTTTTTCAATAAAATGAAAGACTAAATGTTCTCAATTTAAGAACCTACATGTTTATCATTCGTGACAAAAAAAATTTCGTATTCTCATTTTTAAAATTTTACTATTTATAATTATTTTTATATTTATTCCAGTTAGAATTTATCAATCAAAACTTTTATTACCCGTTCTACCACATTAATAATTCTTCATAATCAAAAAATTAGAGAAAATCTCATTTGAGAGCTGAAATATACCCAATTAGTGAGCCATTGTCTCTTAAAATATGATTGTTATTTTGAAAATTTGAAATTTGCAAGTGAAAAATTGGAAGATCTCTGTTTCTCAAAAGAAATATCCTCTTGAGAAATCTCTCTGTATAATAATTTAGTAAATTAAGGCAACGCAAAAATTTTCAGAGTTCACGAGAATCAAAATAAGGCTCTCCTTGTCACATGGGGGTCATATGAAAGTCAAATGGGAGTCATTTTCTATATAATTCATCAAACATACCCAAGGAGCAGGGATCCCCATCAATATTAAATCTCTGTAATATTACAAGAATTTGACCCTTACATTATTGATGGTTTAAAATAAGTTGATTCAATTTTTCGAATAATATAATATTGATTTTATAATCTGATTTTTTATGAATAATGATGTATTTAAAATTTGTTAATATGTAACTGTAAAGTTACTACTAAGTGAATAATTCAAATTTCTTGAAAGGGGATTTTCGATTACACAAGTAATTGTCAATCTTCCTACCTCAAATTATTGATTGATAAAATAGTTGACAATTTGAATATTTGAACTGATAGTTAAGTACTCAAAAAAATTTCAAGAGTGATGTTACTCATTAAGGCCTACAAAAGTAACCGTAAAAATATATTACAAATTTGGCTATCCCTGCCAAGGAGATTGGGGAGCTACATACTTTCTCAAAAATATAATGAGGAAAATTCAAATATTTCACAGCAAAAAAAATGCTCCGCTGAAAGCCCCCAAAATATGGCAAGTCCTTTCAGGAACTAATAACCAATTTTGCAAAAGATAAAAAATAATTACAACGGGTGGTCATCGCGGAACCAGACGCCAAGCCCAGCAGTCGCATCAGAGTCGCCGTTCTTCGAACATGCTCCATCCACGTAAATTTTAACTCGCCCTTGCTTGTCATAATTGAACTTCATGTTCGATTTGTCGGATCCATTGCCACTGTACAATCAAAGGAAACATGTGTCAACACGCATGCAAAAATTTAATAGAAAAACCTATCGAATTCGTTAGAAAATTCTGTTGAATTTCTATCAAACTTTCTATTAGTTTTTGGCTGATTCTATGGACATGTTCAGTAGAAAACATTTAATAGAAAATGTCAACAGAATTCGATTTTTCTATGTAACTTATTCTTTTCATATATTTTCTATAGAATTTGCTCGATTCTAATTTTTTAAGTTTTTTCCATTCTATTTTTATTTTCTTCTCATCAAGAAAATGAAACGAAAAAACTTAGAAAATTTGAGCCGAGGAAATTCTATAGAAAATATCTCAATAGAATAGGTTATATAGAAAAATTCAATTCTATTGACTTTTACTATTGAATATTTTCTATTGAATATTTCAATAAAATCCTCCAAAAACTAATAGAATTGTTCAATAGAAATTCAATAGAATTTTTTAACGAATTCGATAGGTTTTTCTATTAAATGTTTTCGCCCGTGAATGGATAACATTAGTTTCGTAGGTAATTAGACTGCAATACGTACTAGTTCTTTACTCCACGTCGAGCCATGAAACGTTTAGCATCGGTCTGGCAATGGAACTTCCGATATTCTGCATCTGAACATCCGTCCACTTGTCTCTTGCACTGGGAGCTAAAGGAAAAGATTAGAAAAACCTGATAGATGATTGTATTTTTATTGGGCTGACGATAAATGGGAAGAATAAAACCCTAGTGAAGTGATAGAAAAAACAGGGGTAAAACTGGTGTATTCTCTTATAGATATGTCTTGCAGATATGTTTTTTTTTATTTTTTATTTTTTTCTTTATTTCCACCAATTTAGGGATTCTTTTTAAGAACAATTATTTTCTAAAACCAATGCTGAATTTTTATTAATTTTAGAAAATTTTCAGATTGAACTAAAAAATTGCGGCCGAGGTATTTAAAGGGCGTAAGTACTCCATACATAAGGAGGGGTGCCCAAATATCAAGAATTTCAGATGTGAAGAGGGGGGATTTTGCAAAGAGAGGGGGGATGTGAATTGAGAATTAACAACCAAAAAAATTGAGTCGGTGAGTTTTTCAAAAATATCTCCAAAACTAAGGGAGATGGCGAATTTTTACAAAAATTTGGGGGAGGGGGATTGCTATTTCCTGTGATTTTTATTTTCATTTTATTAATTTTCAATTTTTTCCATTTTAAATTCAAGTTCATTTTTTTAGGCTGAAGATAAATGTGAAGAAATATGAAGAAATCCCCAGAGAAGTAGAAAAGCTTAGGGATAAAGCAGGTGTATGAATTATCTTATCTTGCAGACATGTTACGAGTGAACTCGTCAAACTGAATGATCCAAGTTCAACGGAGAGATAACGGGATTTCTTATGTTGTCTTTTTTTCGTAGAGTTAATAATCCTGTAGTCCAAATACAGGATGGGAGGACAGGGTCAAATGGATACTTTTTCCTTTTTTATTAATATTCCTAACGCAGAAACAGTTATCAATTGAGGTCAGCTTAGGCTCATCACAAAGAAACTGAACTGTGCTTTTCATTGAAGAAAAAAAAAAATTCCATTTGATGAACAATTCAATAAGACAATAACGTTTCAAAAAAAGTAAAAAAAAAAGTCCATTTTACCCCGCCCTCTCCTAAGTGCAGATGCATTGAAAACTAATTCAGTAGTAAATTGATCGAATAGATACGATTAGGTTTTCAGAGATCTCGTCCTGCTTTGTAAAAAACATCGCCCCGAAAATTTCGCAATTCTTAAATTCTACAGTATTTACAAAAAAATTTACCCGAAAGTGCAATTGAACTTGTCTTGTAGTATTCTATTTCGAAACATGTCAAAACGGTTCTCGAATAAATTTTGCACCTAATAGGAATAAATATCATATTTCAGGGCAGAAAGAAAAATAAATCTAAATTTTTTGAATTCATCCTCTTATATCATCCCGCTATATGTTTAAAAATAACGAGACTTACAGAGATGTATAAATCCCCGGAGTGCGTCCCACCGAAACAGCATAATATGTGGTGTCTTCTTCTTCTTCATCTTCAGAGTGTACTCCCCAAGGATCTCTTATGAAAAAAAAAATGAAAATGGAATGAGCATCGAATTTCGATAATTTCCTTCAGCTCCGGATTAGTCATCTTATCAATTCAGTATTTATTATATCATGAAATGAATCATTTTGAGATAGAACAGCGAAAGATATAGCTTTCAAAAAATTTTTTTAGATCGGAAAAAAGTTTTCATGTTTTTTTGAACAAAAAGGTCAGAACACATATTCTTCAAATATCTTCGAATTCAAGGGGAGATTACTATGACTTTAAAAGTCGTGGGTTATTGGAGTGAGACTTTTCATACGTTGAAAATCGATTATATAGATCTGAAACCGAATAATTAGTGAAAAAAAAATTTTTGTATTGTTCATTTGCCCGAAAACGCTTAAAATGCCAAAAACAGTCCAGGGCCTCCAATTTTTGAGCTACGAAGGATTTTTTTATCAAAATTTTCGGAGAAATATCTGGAATAACAATTACGAGCTAGTTTTTTTTTAATTCGCGTCTTACATGGCTCAATTTGCTTTTTTTGTATTTTTTTTACAAAAATAGTGAATTTTTTTATATGAAAAAAACTGAAATCAGCTGCGTAGGAATCGAATTTCAAATAACTGACTCATAATTGTTGTTCCACACATTTTTCCGAAAATTAAAAAAAAAAAATCTTTTGTAGCTTAAAAATTGAAGACCCTGGACTGTTTTTAGCATTTTAAGCGTTGTAGGGCAAACAAACGATAAACAAATTTTTTTTTGCACTAATTATTCGTTTTCAGATCTATATAATCGATCTTCAACGTATGAAAAGTCTCACTCCAATAGCCCACGACTTTTAAAACTCATAGTAGTCTCCCCTTAAAAGAATTAGCTTCTGATCTAATTACGAAATTCCTGAAAATTCCTCGAATATTGCAGTCTTCTGGAACATGCTGCATTGGAAAATTGTAGTTTTCCAGACGATTCACGAACTTTCCAGAGAATTTTGGACCATTTTAGACCTTTCTTGAACTTTCTTAAACTTCCCGTGGATTTCCGGAGAAACGGACATCTTAAATTGTATAGAGTAAGAATTCCAATCCCGTATATTCAATATAAAATTGCGTACTCATATTCGTATGAAGCTAGTCCTCGACGACGGAGATAATAACGAGCATCAGCATGACAGTGGAATTTGCGAAAGTCCGCTTCTGAATAGCCTGATACCTGACTTGCGCACTCGTCCCTGCAAAACAAGTTTTCAAGCAACTTCCATCGTTTTTTCCCCGAAGTCATAATGATTATAATCAATTCTTTGGTGGTCAACGGTGGTCAAACGAAGTGGTCAAACGGGGTTTTTTGAATCAAAGTAATTTTTCAGATAACATTAATTTGAAGAATGCTGAAAGTTTGATTTATCCGGATGTCTTTTGCAGATTAGAATAAGAGCTACGAAAAAAATCCCTGTGAAAATTTTTGAATTTCTCTTGAATTGCAAAAAAATTTAATAGAAAAAGTGAATTCAACAGACAATTCTATTGGATTTCTATTGAATTTCCTATTACTTTTTGACCGATTCTATTGAAATGTTCAACAGAAAAAGTCAATAGAATTCGAGTTTTTCTATACAACTTATTCTCTATTAAGATATTTTCTATAAAATTTTTTCAGTGCAAATTAACTGAATTTTTTTAAATTTTATTTTTCTAGTGTTTTCATCAAGAAAATCAAACAAGAAACTCGGAAAATTCAAGCCGAAAAAATTCTATAGAAAATTTCTCAATAGAATAAATTGTATAAAAAAATCGAATTCTTTTTGTAGAGCCGATTGATGGATATAACAAAAGATTTTCATAAGAATACTCCATCTTCATGGGCCACAAGATATTTCGCAAAAAATAAAATTGGTGGTTTTAGTCCGTACGCTGTACCTGATCCTGTATCAATTTAAGAGTCCCCGCGTTTGGATGTATGGAATTCATGTTCCTTGGGTCGCTGATTCTAAATTTGTGAGTCTTTTTTCCAAAAAATTCGACGTACTATCTGTTATTAACCATTTAATTTTTTAAGCGATCACCCCCCCCCCCCCC